TGGGCATGGTAACGCATAACTGTAGTCTCAGTTACTTGAGAAGCTGAGGCAGAAGGTTCACCTGAGAGGTCAAGGTTGCAGTGAACTGTGATTATGCCACTGCCCTTCAGCCTGGGCAACAGAGTGAGACCCCAATTTAATAAATAAATAAATAAAAGATTCCCAGGGTGACAATTTCTCCTGGTAACAATCCAGGATGGTGGGTAAGAATTTAGGTTAAGACAACCCCCTCACTGGAGAACCTAATTACTGAAAGACCCATGTGAGGGTCCCCTCCTACTAGCTGTGTGGTCTTGGGCAGGTCACAGCCTGCCCCAACCTCGATTTCCTAACCTCTAAATTGGGCTTAAGAAAAGTATCTTCTTAGATTGTCGTGAGGAATGACTGAGTCTGCACTGGAAGGCCTGACGTGAGCTTGATAAGGGCTCAGCTGATGGTGACTCCTGCTGGTAGGAAGATGCCACTATACAGATCCCCTTCCGAACACATCCCTTTTCTTAGGGCAGCAAGGTTCTTTGTTCCTGGCAACCAGAATCGCTTTTGGCCTGATCTACCTGGGAACTGGAAACGGACGGTTGAGTGTGAAGCCAAGTCCCATAATGCCTCTAGTCTTACCTTTGTCCTCATTGAAGCACATGGCAGGAAAGGATCTTTGATCTCACAGGAAGGCCCACACAAAGGGTGCATCAGGCCTGGGGGTGCGTGTGGTAGACTGGGGGGGGGCCGATATCCTCCATGGAGAGAAGGCCCGTCAAGTGTGTTGACAGACCCCGGTTGTCTGCTCATGACAATAATTTAAGATGCTGATTTTGCAATTCCTGGAGCTGGTGAAACGCTGTAGCCCCTGGATATTTTGCAGATGTCAAGGAACTGCACGTTGGTTAACACACAAGGCACCGGAAGGGGAGCTCACACGCTAGAGACACAGTTTGTAGAATGGCTGCCCACAGGCCAGAGTCCGTCCACAGATAACTTTCAGGGACACATGGTCAGTTTCCATTCGTTTGTTTTAGAATTGAATTCATTGCCAACATTTTTCAAATTGTGATGGTTAAATGTTGAAATGTCTTGAAAGATCTGGCAACACTGGGCCCACATTCCTGCATGGCGACCATTGGCAAGATGTGGTCGGCTCCTTTAGCCAGGACAGCCAAAAGCCAGCTTGTCACGGCTACACCAGGATCACCTGCCTGCTCGCTGCTGGCATTTTAGTTGTAAACTCCTGGCCTTCCCAGTAAGAGACACAGACTCAAGGATCTGTGGGTCAAGACAGACTGTGGTGAGTATTGTAGCTGAGGACAATGGTTCTCACTGGGGTGACTGGGCGCCCAGTGGACACCAGCAATGTCTGAAGACTTGGTTGTCACAAGTGGAAGAGAGTGTTGCTGTCATCTAGTGGGTGGAGAACAGAGAGGCTGCTCAACAGCCTACAATGCACATGACAGCCCTTACAACAAAGAATTATCCAGCCCAAAATGTCAGTAAGGCTGAGGTTGGGATACCCTGGATTAGGGGCATCAGCAAATTGCTCCGGAGAGGGGCTCAAGAATGGCCCCCTGAAAAGAGGTGGTCTTGGTGCCAGGCAGGCACTTGACTGAGCCGGTTTCAATTTCAACTGAGGTGACTGGGGGACAGGCACGTCAGAGAACAGCAGAAGCAAAGGTCCTGAGGTACCTCTGATGGGCAGACACAGGAAACAGTGTGAACAGTGAGGTGGAGCCTATGGCTCAAGGGGCGTGGAGTTTGGAGTCAGATGAGCTTGGGTTTGAGTGCTGGGTCTACCACTCACTAGGCCTCAGGCTTGCCACTGACCAGAACCACAGTTTCATTATCTGTAAAATGAGGCTAATAGGTGAAGTTATGTAGGCATGGCTTCATTTATCCCCACTCCCCATTTCTACTCTGCATCCCAGCCATTCTGACATTCTGGCGGTTGGCTAACGCCTCCTCTCTCTCTCCCCTCTTCAGGCCCTCCATGTGCAGTTCTCTCACATTCCAGGTGTGTGGACGACACCGACAAGAGGTTATAAGCCCAGGGCTGATATGTCAGTAAGGCTGTATATTTTGTATATTTTGTATATATCAGATGTATATTTTGGAAAGATTGCTCTGCCAGTAACCTGGTGTGGTGCTTGGGGCTGGGGGAAGCGAGTGACCTAGAGGCCAAGAGAATGATGGGGAACTCCTGGGCTCAGTCTAAAGGCTGAGGAGCCTCTGCCTTCACCCCAGTTCTCCTTGTCATCACACCCCTGGCCTTCCGGTGCCTTGGGGAAGGCCAGTGAGGACCCACCAGGCATGAAGGTGATAGGTTCTCTCTTGGTAAATGTCTCTGAGGGACTCACAGAGGCTACAGCCATGAGCAAGCTGCCTATCTTCCGCAAGCCTCAGTTGCTTCCACTGTGTAGAACAGAGTCTTTACTTGGTCTTGGGGGAGGTACATGGAACACTCACTACAAAGTTCTTAGGATAGGACCTGGCTCGTTGTGTCTAATCTGCTTTATAAAAATCAAGCTATGGCTGAATACCATCTGGTTGCCTGGTAAGTAGCAGGAGGCCTTGGAAGAACAAGGTCTCTCTAAAGAACTGATCTTGACTTTAAGGATTACCTGATTCAGGATTTGTGGAATTTGCTGATTGGGGACATCCCAATTTTAAGAGAACCATTTCTAGGAATTTTATCTGAAAGGCAGTCTCAAAGAGTTTGAGTAGGTTCTGGGGGCGGTATTTAATGAAATGAAAAATTGGAAACAGCCTTCATGTCCAACTATAGCATATTGGTTATATATGTAATGAGAAAAATAGAATATTATGCCATCATTCAAGAGGAGGCAGATGAATATTTGTTGATATGGAAAGATGTTCATTATTAAGTGAAAACAATATGCGAAACAATATTTGTATGTCAATAATAGATGTACAGCTGGGCGCGGTGGCTTACGCCTATAACCCCAGCACTTTGGAAGGCTGAGATGAGAGGATTGCCTGAGCTCAGGAGTTCGAGACCAGCCTGGGCAACTTGGCGAGAGCTCATCTCTACAATAAATAAATAAGTTGGATATGGTGTTACACGCCTGTAGTTCCAACTACTTGGAAGGCTGAGGTGAAAGTGTCACTTGAGCCCAGCAGGTTGAGGCTGTGGTGGCTGTGTGTGTGCCAGTGCACTCCAACCTAGGTGACCCAGAGAGACTCCAACAACAACCGCAAAAAGAATATATGTACATATGTATTTTAAAGTTAACAGTGGATATTTCTGAGTGCGTCTGACAACATTTTTCTTATCCTGGGTCTTCCTTTTCTAAATTTTCTACAATAACCATGCATTTATTTTATGGAGAAAATAGTAGTATATTTTATTAACTTTAAAATTATTTGGCCAGGCACAGTGGCTTATGCCTATAATCCCAGCACTTTGGGAGGCCGAAGTGAGAGGACTGCCTGAGCCCACAGGTTTGAAACCAGCCTGGGCAATTTGGTGAGACTTCACCTCTACAATAAATCAAAAAATTAGCCGGGCATGTGGCGTGTGCCTGTAGTTCCAACTACTTGGAAGGCTAAGGCGGAAGGATCAACTGAGCCCAGCAGGTTGAGGCTGGGATGACCGAGAGCGTGCTACTGCCGTCCAGCCTGGTTGACAGAGTGAGACTCCTACTCTTAATTAATTAATTTGATGTTATTAAAATTAAAATGGACCCGCCTGGGCAACTTGAGAGACCTCATCTCTACAATAAATCAAAAAATTAGCCGGGCATGTGGCGTGTGCCTGTAGTTCCAGCTACTTGGAAGGCTGAGGCGGAAGGGTCGCCGGAGCCCGGCAGGGCGAG